CGTGCCCCGCCCACCGTCAGCGCCCGCAGAGCGGACCCAGCCGGAGGCCCGGCACGGGCGGCACAGCCCCCAGGGCCCCTCGGTGCGCATCTTTAGGTGACCTTCGGATGAGCCTGACGAGGCGCCGCTCGCCGGGCTTCGCCTCGGGGCCAGAGCGCGTCGCCGAGCCAGGACGTGCACCCCGGGTCTGGCCGGGCCCGAGGACCTTGGAGGGCCCTCAAAGTCAGAATTTCGATGACTTTTATCCCAGAGTCTCTGAATTCTTGGTATTTTTGCTTATAGAAGTATTTAAGGATGAAAACCTGGGAGATCACACGCTAGTTTACGGCACTTCAGTTATGCTGTGGTTTTAGATATATCCTTTGCTCTGATGTGGGAAACTCCTTGGGCACCCAAGAACGTCCGAGAAACCTCACATATAGCCGATGCAGAGCGATCTTGACTCTTGCTAGAGTTATTGATTTTAAGTTCACATTCCCCCCCGGTGGGGCAGCTTCACTCCCTTTAATGTTTTTCTTTCATCAGTCCATAGAAAGACAGTTTGGCAGCTTAGATTTATGTGATACAGAACCAGCCCGCCCACCAGGGCCCTCCCCAGACCCCCACCGTGGGCCCGGCTCGCGTGGGACTGTTCACTCACCTCCCCTGTGGCTGTGGACGACGCTCCCCGTCAGCCCGCAGGCCCCTCCCAAAGCCCCAGGGCGCCCCGAGGGCCCAACCTGTGGGGGCCGCTGAGCAGCCTCTCCTCCCTGCTGGCGCTGCCCTTAGTGCGTCTGGGCACTGGGCACCGAGTCCCCAGGGGACGCCGCCAAGCCGAAGGGCGGCACTTGGCACCCCCGGGCCGCGCCACCCCCCGCCCCGGGCGAGCCTCTCCGACCTCAGCGGCCTGACTGCTGCCCGGCGTCGCTTTTCAGTGCGGTTCTTTGGGGAGGCTCTTTGCAGAGCTGGGTGATACCCTCTGGCAGGGGGGTCAGGCCATCATTCCCTCCGGGTGTCCTATCTTTGGCTTTATTCCAAAGAACTTTGGACTTTCTCCATGTAAGCAGGGTCAGTAATGTTTGGCTGCTAGGGGTGTTTTTGAGCGTCACTTCCCAAGGACTTGGCTCCTTGACGTGGGCAGAGTTGTGGGGTGCCCCGTGGGTCTCAGCTGGATGGGGGTTCGGTCCCCCGGGTGGGGAGGAGGCTTCATGACGGGCACCCTCGGGCCGTGGTGGGGTGTCACTGGGCCCGGGGAGCGCATGTGCGTCGAGGCGCTCTCTTGGGAGACGTGCCCACGCCGGTGGCCTCCGTGGCTGTTCTCGGTGTCAGGTGCAGTGGGTGCCACAGCTGGGCTGCCCGTGGCCACGTCCTCAGGGCGCAGCCACCGTCCCTCCTCCTCTCCGCCGCCTCGGGATGAGGCAGGGCTGGCCCTGCGCCTTGTCAGGGGCC